AAAAAAAAAAAAAAAAAAGAAAAAAGAAATGTCTTTATTTATCTATTTATTTATTTCTGGTGCTGGGGATCAAACTCTGGATCTTGCCCTTGTGAGGCAGGGGGCGGCACCACTGAGCTACATCCCCAGCCCAGGAGAAATGTCATTTTAAGTCTCTAGATGATAGCCTCACACACTTTCGGTGAGCTTGTGAATGGGAGAGACTCTCAGAAGAACAGTGTGGACACATCCATGAAGTTCTACATATGTAGGCTCTGCCTGACATTTCCTCTGTGTGTGTGTGTGTGTGTGTGTGTGTGTGTGTGTGTGTGCGTGCACGCAGTACTGAGGATTGAACCCAGGGCCTTCAAATGGAGCTAAATTCCCAGTCTATTTTAATTTTTTTTTTTAACTTCGAGACAGGGTCTTGCTAAGTCAGTCAGTTGCCCGGGCTGGCCTTGAGATCACGGCGATCCTCCTGCCTCAGCCTCCTGAGTGCTGGGATTACAGCCATGCACATCCATCCTCACCCACTGTTTATAATAGCAAAGGATGGGAAACAGAAACATGTCACATCAGAGAAGTCAAATAAACACAGGCGCATCTGTTCTAGTTGGAAGAGAGCATGTGGTACCAAGAGGTGTGAAACAATGCCAACAGATGTTAAGGAAAGCAAGACAGAATCCACACTATCACTGCCTGAAATTATCTTTAAAAACACACTCATATTTATTTGGATATGCCTCTCTGGAAGGCTTGCCTCAAAACAGCATTGCCTGAAAAGAGGACAAATGAGCCAGGTGTGGTGGTGCATGCCTGTCATCCCTGAGAGTTTGAGGCCAGCCTGGGCTACGGAGCAAGGCCCTGTCTCAAGAAGAAATAAATAAAATTAAAATGCTTCCTGCAACTAACAAAGCAATAAGGGGCCCAGCATGTGCCCACAGACCCTCTACCACCAGCACCAGCTCGATTTCTTCCCCTGTGGTTCCAGGGATTGAACCTGAGGGCTTCTACCACCAAGCTTCATTCCCAGCTCCATTTTTGTTTGTTTCTTTGTTTGTTTGGTCCCAGGGATCAAACTCGCTCGGGTCCTCCTTGCACTTGCAAGGCAGGTGGCAGCACCACTGAGCTAAATCCCCGGTCCTGGGATCAGGTTTAGACAAGTCCCTCCCTTGGTTCAACCCGGCAAGAGGCCTGGTGTCCTAACAAGGCATTCCTCCTGTGTGCAGTAAACAGAGAATGTTTTACCTTTCAGCAAAGGTGTCGAGTTTCCCCAGCTCATCGGAGAGACCGACCAGGGAGTCCAAGGTCCCCACCTAGGAGAGCAGAAAGAAGTTAGAGGTTCTTGGTGTGGAAGCCTGGGTGTCATTTCAACGGCAGGGTGGGGACCCTCATGTCATCCACACCTGGACAGACCGGGCTCCGGAGGGAAACCACATCTGCAGAGCCATCCTTGGGTGAGGACTACGTCCGTCTCAAAGCCCGGTCATTCTTCCCGTAGCCAGACAGATAGACCAGAAAGTTAGCAAGGTAAAACCCCTGCAGGGCATGGTGGTGCAAACCTGTAATGCCAGCACTCAGGAGGATGAGGCAGGGGGGTCGTCAGAAGTGTTTCAAGGCCAGTTTTGGCTACACAGTGAGACCCTCTTTCAACACACACACACACACACACACACAGGCCTTGAACTCTCTGCATTCCTCCTGCCTCAGCCTCCCAGTGCTGGGAGTGCTGGTATGAGGCCGGAAGGGGTCCTTATGAAATTTCTTAGCGTGAAAAGGCTGCAGACCCCACTGGAAGTTCTATTTCCAGAGCCAGAGAGGAGCAGCTGCTGCCCAGTGCGTCCTCCACACAGGTGCAAAGGCGATGTTAGGATGGGCAGGAGGAAGGCCGGCGGCAGAGAACCAGTGCCCCGCGTGGGGGCACTGGTCTAATTGGTGACACACCCCACTCCCCAAAGCACACAGTGGCAAAGCCCAGTACTGCTACCCAGAGAGGCTGTTGCTTTTCAAGCAAGGTAATTTTAAGCTTTTTTGGGGGTATCAGTGATTGACTACACTAAGCTGCATCTCCTATCTTTTTATATGGACACAGGGTTTCCCTAGGTCTTGGACTCAAACTTATCATCCTGCCTCAGCCTCCCAAGATTCAGGAATCACAGGTGTGTGCCACCGACATGCCTGGTGACTATGGACCACCTTGGGCAAGGCTGTGTTACAGTCCTAGTGATCTAGTTCATAATCGCCACAATTACGTGGGGCTGGGACTTGAAGCTCTAGCAAGACCATCAGCGTTACTGGATGCCTACTAGCTCAGCACTTGGGAGGCTGAGGCAGGAGGATCGCCATGAGTTTGAGGCCAGCCTGGGCTACACAGCGGTACGTTGTCTCAAACCAAAATCGCGCGGCTCAGGTTCGGCGGGTTCCTTCTCCTTGGCTTCCCAGAGCAAGCCACCTTTGTCCTCTGCCCCATGTCCTGCTCCGTCCTCCCCAAATCCTTACCTCTGTAACCCTCCAGGTGTTTTACCTTGAAGTCAGGAATCGCGAACTTGGTGTTGTGGGACAGGTTGGATTTGGAGGTGACCATATTCATTCTCTCCAGCGCTTGTAAATTTTCCTTATCTCCAGGGGCCGAAATTAACCAAAATTCAGACATGCTTCCTGCCAGTCCTCTTACGGTTACTGTGTGGAAGTGAGACACAAGCCCAAATAGAAACTGGAGCGACAAGTGTCAGGGGGTCTCCATTCCCTCACTGCTCTTTGCCCTCTCGAAACCAATCATGGTGGCACACACCTGTCATCCCATCACTCTGGGAGGCTGAGGCAGGAGGATCGCAGGTTGGAGCCCAGCCTGGGCAATTTTGTGAGTCTTTGCCTCAAAATAGGAAATCTTTTTAAAAAGTGGCAGGAGGGCCCGGGGATTTAGCTCAGTGGTTCCACTGCCTGCCTTGCAAGTGCAAGGAACCAAGTTTGATCCCTGGTACCGCCCCCGCAAACAAAGTGGAAGTAAAGGCAGAGGTGGTAATGTAGCTCAAGGATACTCATTAGTGCAAAGCAACTGTGCTTATTTATCTCCACCGGGAAAGCCCGGGTCCCGGCAGCACCATCCCCTCCTACAGGGTGGCTCTGGGTGGTCCTTGGTTCTCCCTATCCAGACACAACCACTGCCGACAGGGTGACAGGGAGGGACAGGAGGCAGCACTCCGCCCCTCTGGGGAGGACAAGGGGGAGGAAGCAGGAGCACCAGGCAGGATTGGATTCTCACAGTAAGGCAGGCAGTTAGCTCTCGCTAAAGTTGACTCCAGGAGGATTATTTTCTGGGCTGGGGATCGAACCCAAGGCCTCTGCCCCGAGCTGCACCCCCCCCCGCCCTTTTTTACATAATTTATTTTGAGACGGTGGTCTGACAAAATCTCTAAGTTTCCGGGGCTGGGTTCCAACTTGGGATCCTCCTGCCTCAGCTTCCTGAGTGCTGGGATGACAGGCGTGCTGCACCGCGCCCAGATAGGGCTCTCCTTTTTTAAAGCAAGAAGGAAGGAGAGAAAGGGGGCCCTGAAGTCTGTTCCCCCCTACAGGGGCCGCTCACGGTCTGGGTGCCCTGCAGCCTTGGGAAGCTATCCCAGGCCGGCGCTGTCCCCGCGGTGTCCCCGCCTGCGTCCTGGGAACAGCGAGCACCCAGCCGGGCCTCCTTGAGCCTCCCTGCCCCACTCAGCCCCGCTCCTCTCAATCCCTCGGGGACAGTTGGCCCTACCCGTGTCTCCGAGGAGCGGCGTGGGCGCCGGGTGCCCACGGAGAACGCGCAGCCCCGGGTCGCTAGGCGTCCTCACCCTCTCCTGGGATCCGCGCTTCGGCGACCTTACCCGGGCTCTAGAGGAGCTCGAGGCGGACTCCTGGGAGGCAGCGGCTTCCGAGGCCCTTCTCGGCCACGCCTTTTATAGACGGTAATAGCCGGCAGAGGCGGGGCCCCAGGACATTTGCATAGACGCGAGCAGGGACACCGCTGGGGCGGGACTGGAAGCGAACTTGATGGGGAGGCGATGCGGATTGGGAGTGGGGTTACAGATTGGGGGACAGTTGCTGGGCTGCGGCTGGGGTGCCGGTTTGGGATTGGGGTGCCGATTTGAGGTGGGAGCGCAGATTTGGGCTGGGGTGTGGATTGGGGATGGGGTGCTGGCGAACCCACCCCATCGGCAGCCCCAAGACTGCCCAGAGCCGACAGAGTGGAGACTGGGGATCGGTACA